AAAACCAGACCTATAATTGAGATGAACGTTAATTTTTATTTTACATTTTTCTTTTATTTTTAATTAAGTCCAGACTTAATTTATAAAGGTGAAATCTCAAAGGGGACAACAAAGTAAAGAACGGTAGCGTATAACTGAGCGAATAAAAGAAATGTTATCGCAGATAACGTTTCACCGCCACCCATTCACTTTTGATAAGAAGCTTTATAACCCCGCATTTATTTGTGCTTGACATGAAACTAGGCGTCTATCTTTATGTATATTTAAAGTAATCCCGAGTCTTAAAAGCATTCTTTTAAATATCAAATAGAAAACCATTATTGTTTGCCTATCTCTAACTAGGTCATTTTAGTTGGTCAGAGTTTAAATTCGCCGATAAGGCTCTGATTAATCGTGGTCAAAATGAAATTGTAGCCTGCCCTAAAACTTGCAAAGGAAGTACAGGGTCACGCAATCGTCCTTTTTGCTAGCATTAAATTAAGCATTCTATTAGGTATTTTCTTAAATCTAGTTCATTAACATTTTTATGGTTATATAAATATACTACGTTCATTAATTTTATTACATCAACATTCACTGCCCTTTGAACAGAATTATTGCACTTTGCTAGAAGTAATATTTCTTGTCTGCCATGTGATATACATTTTTGTGTTACACAAATGATTAAATTATTAAAATTTAAGTATCAGTCCATAAATGTACAAATAAGTAAAAAGTTATTATAAAGTGGAAAGATTTGATTTTTTTTTTTCATTCATAGGTTCCCAAACCGATTTGAAAACGTCCTTCGCTGTTATAATAGAGAGGTACACTATCCCCGGATGACATAAAATATATTGATTTTGATAACTCGTTTTTTTTTAATTCAACACGTACGAAGTCACGGGAGACCGCTAGTTTAATAATATTATAATAGTCTCCTGCAACTTCATTAATAAATAATTCATTGTATAACAAAATGTATGGATATAGTGCATCTACAGTGAAGTACTACTTGGACATAGACAATATTCTACAAGGCCATATATCAAAGAGACTAGATCTTATACCTCACAAAGTTTACCATAGACTTTGAACATGTCATTAGTATTATCGTAGAAACAATGTTCATTAGTATAAGGCACTTAACAATATATCTTGAAACTAGAGACCCTTCTGCGCCACTTCAGTTTGAGACGACGTGGAAGTTTCCACCGAGATTAATAACCAATCCAATTAGCATTCTTTGTGTCGCTGTTCGCGACAAAACAAAAAACATCTTGATTCGTGATGTAACAAGGCTTTATTGAAGGTGTTTTGAAGTCGATATAAAGTGCAATTTAAAATTTGTCTTCGTCTACAATTTTAGTCGTGAAAGTAATTACACGAGTATACATTAGATCAAATCAACCTAACCTAATCTTTATTCCTTCGCCACATTATAATTAAAAAGAAAAGTTAAATCAAAAAAAATACCAAGTATTTATAAAGTAACCGTGGGTTCCTAATACCAAAATCGTCGTTTAAAACATATTATCAGTTGTCGAAAATGAAAGAAAGAGATGTCGATAGATTTTATATAGAGTGTCAGTGATATAATAATCTTACTAATATTATTAATGCGAATGTTTATATGGATGGATGGATGTTTGAAGATATCTCAGGAACGGATATCTCTGAAATTTGGCATAGTTGTAGCTACTAATTATGTTTTTTATAATTTCGCGCGGACGGAGTCGCGGGCGACAACTAGTTTTATATAAACTAAATAATATAAAATAATTTGTTTTATCGTTTACGTCCAACATATTACAGAAAAAACGAAAAATCACTATTAAATTACAATTTGTCACAATTTTAATTCTTGTCTCTGCTTAAAGAGTATGTAAGGGACAAAGTCAGAGTAACATAATTTAATATCAGATTATGCAAAGCCTCTTTCCTTCCGCGCTAAAAGCTCTTCACTTCTTAACACCATTACTCAACTACTATTATTGTCTTCAGATTCAATTTCCAGGCATTATCCAGTATAAAGAGTAAAATATGAAAAGTGGCACTTACATGACTGACACCATTTGCTTTCCTACGATTTCAGTATCGCCTTGAAGTTTATTTTCTTATATAACGAAGCTTGATTTATTCATATTTAGCTTCGCGTTACCTTTCAAGGTAAAGAGTATATATTTTCACTTTGTTTACATAATAAGATAAAAATATAATATAAATCACATTTGGTCTTCTAGTTTATATCAGAGATATTAATCATTTTGTATTATTTTTCCTTCATTTTTATTCTAAGATTAGCTGTTGTCCGCGACTCCGTTCGCTCGGGATTAAAAAAAAACTTAATAAGTTGTCTACCAAATTTCAGCGAGATCCGTTGAGCAGTTCCGGAGATACCTTCAAACAAACGTCCATCCATCTAAACATTCGCATTTATAATATTAGTAAGATTTTAAAGTAATTATTTCAATTTCTCTTGCATACCAACTTAACACATTGTCCAATTGACGTCAACTGCAACAACATTCTGAAAAACAACAGTTCGTAATTTGAAATCATTATCATTCTAAACGTATAATTGAATGTACTGGGGAACTTCATTCGAGAGGATACGTAGAAGTAGTCTGTTCCAATTACACTAATGAGACAATCGAAATGCCAAATGCACACGAATACGTATACGCTGGATGTTCTAGATTACTATTGCCAACACACGACACAAAGCTTCACAGGTCGGGTTATAAAAAATTATGTTAACGACATTAATTAACACTTATTTAAGGTCTATATATAAAGTCAAAAAACAATCACAATTAATGACAGGCCAGTATCGTGTTTAACTGACATATATGTAAGAAATAATATAGTTGATTAGGTGTATTTCAATTAGTAAAATTATGGTGCCGTATTGTCGTATTGTGACAAAGGCCCTGTTATAACTAAATAAATGTTTAAAAAAGATTAAAAATTACAATAAAATAAAAACAAAATAAACCATGAGATTTCTGTAACGCTCATAAAAAAACGATGTTTTTTTACGTTTATGTGAAAGCTGATGAAATATAATATAGTGTTGGTGAATTAAAAAAGATTTCTGGTTAAGATAATGTCTTTAACAACTAGCATTCTTTGCAAAATGAAATCCTTTGTGTAAAAAATTGAAAACCCTTGAGATATAAAAAGCATGGAAATTACGAACTTTGCATAATAGACATATCCAAAAGGAATCGGGCAAGACGTTGGTTCAATGTTTTCGATAACAATATACTTAAAGATTTTCAGTTCTATTTCTTTTATATTTTAAACTTAAGACCAAAACTACATTAATTTACATAGAAAATAATCTAAAACAGAATAGAATTTATTCTTTGGTTGCAAAGCCATTTAAAGCGAATACATTGAAGTTCAAATTGTTTGAATTTCATCGTAACGTAAACTTAGCTTTTAATTAAATTGTACTATGTTCATGTAACAATTCTTTACAAAAGGACTTCATAACTGATTTCTTTTTGCGGGCCATTTCTAGTCCTTCGCGGTCTTGTGCGGTTCGGTTTTTTGCTGACCTCTAGACAAAGAAAAATGTTTTGCTCATCACCTTGAAAACTGTTTATTACTATTACTGTTTTTACTAGATCTTCTAGTTTGACTTAAAACTGTTTATTGTGTAGCGTAGGTGCATTCTGTGAAACATAGTACTTTATTAGTCAAATCAGTTTATTCCTGCAAATTCTAATTACTTAATTACTTATAAATTAATTCGTGAAATTGTATTATATTTTTTATTGTGAAGCTTATTTAAAAAATGCTATTGCGAAAATAAGGTACAAATAATCTTAATACTTTTTAGATCGATTTTGTTCAATTATTTAACATCACGTTTTGTCGCTCTAGGGCTTTCTTGTTTCCTTTCCGAACCTATTTTCTTGAGATGTGACGAGTTGAGTAGTTGTCGTCGTTCATCACACAGCACTTTGTATTTTGCATTGAAATTCAGCATCAAGAGATACGACATATTTGATGTTGCAAAATTAATCATCGCGCAAAGTGTTTTAAAATATAAATCCATGATTATTATTGTATTTGAAATTTAATTAATTTATCTTACTAATATTATAATCGTACTAACATAAATGCGAATGTTTGGACGGATGCATGGATGCTTGAAGGTTTCCTGAAAATGGATCTCGTTGCAATTTGGCATAGCTGTAAAACATACACAATACTAAGTCTTTTAATAGCGCGCGAACGGAGTCGCATACAACAGCTAGTGTTCAAATAAGAGATTGTAAAGGCACTACAATTTATAGTTGTTCGTTGTTATATCGATAGACACAATCAGATTAAGTTAGCTATTGTTATTGGCTCTACTATTATACAAGTTCGATTTCTTCAAATAACTTAAACTTGTTATTGTTAGTAGCTGAATAAAGGTGAATTTGTCTTAATAACCTTCATTATTCCTTGGAATAATGAAGCTTGTGTTGCTTTCTTAATTGTGTTTAAATAAACAAATTTGTGGTTGGTTATCTTTGCCGCAAGATATGAAACAGGTTATTCGCAGGTTCTCTGCATGTAATTTTATGTTTATCTTTTATCATATTTTAAGGAACATCTGCTTTTACGAATCAGTGAATTTAATACGGTCGGTAGGAACATGATAATAAGGTGGCGATGTGTTAATAATTCACTCTTAGAATATCGATGCTCATTAATATTCAAACAAACGCTTAATAAACACGCGATATAAACAATGTTTATTTCATATAATTCTTACTTCGAATTCATTATTATTCATGAGACAAATAACACGCATAAGAAATGATAACAGAGTTTAAACACACCATAATTCCTAAAACTATTTATAAACTTCTGACAATCAATGAAAAATAAAACCTAAATACCAACAATGAAAGAAAAAATTAGTCAAATCCAGCTCCCTAAATTTTACACAGATAAATGACTGAATACTACACGCTCTACTACTATGCGGTCTCTAGTAAAATTCTGTTTGTTCACAGAGGGAGCTCTTCGCTGCGAAAGCTGATAGTAGCTCTGCGGTGGACCGCAAACTGTCTACTTCGTCAGCGGGCAGCATGAAGAACAAATGGCTGAAAGCGTTCCGCAGCCTGAAGCCGCCCAGCGCGCCGCCGCCTCATCCCGGCCCGCAAGACAAGTAAGTTATACAGACTACACTTATTTAACATATATTAACCACAATAATTATTGTATTATACAATTAAATATTTTTAATTACGATAATAATTAAATTATGTTATAAATGTTTATTAATTTAGTTTACTTATAAATACAGATACATGACTTAATTTAGACACGGAATAGCTGTTCACCTCCGCATAAAAAGCTTGACGGCCTGTAACGACGCTTTTTTAATTATGCATATTTAAAAAAATGCCTAAAATGTCTATGCCTGAAGTAAAGGGAAATAAGCATTTAGTTGTCAAAGATAAAATAAAATTATTATTTTAAAATTATAAGTTACTCCTCTGGCGCATCGACCCAAAGTGGGTCTTGGCCTCCGACACAAGAGATCGCCAAAGTCGCCTTCAAACTATAAAATGGTATCTAATTTATTTCTCATCCATTGCTTATGATTATATCCTTATATGGATTGGCGCATCCGTTATTCTGATTGCTACGGATGCGGATGTTTGTGCGGCGGTGGTATATTGGAAACCGCTACAATCGTTGCTCGTTTACCCCTTCTCCTATAAAAAAAAAACTTGCTGCGTTCTTCTTTGTCCACAATTTAAACAATATTGTAAATTAAAAGTTGACTATCAAAATAAATTACTATTGTATGGAATGGTTCAATGTAAATGTCGGACATAATTAACTTGACCAGACGTCTCTCTTTGAACGGGACTCTCCCTTTTATAGTTACGAGTCCCCTTGTCCCCGATATGAATGGTCGCCAAAATTTTCCCTTTTTTTTTAAAGCAAAGCCTCTGTTAAATATAAATACATATAAGTAAACGTTTCGACTATATGTGTTTCAGAATTTGTAACTTACGATTACTGATTTTATTTGAGGAAATAACCTATTAATTACCTGAAAAAAACCAATGTCTTGTTTTGAGTAAAAATAAATATTCGCGTTAGGCATAATACACTTTTATTTTGTTTATTGATATGGCACAGTTGTAATAGCTTATTTCAATCAGATATTTAACAAGCTCTTCAAACAGAGGAAAGCATTTTCAATTAAAAATAGAATAAACACGTTGCCTTCTAACGTTCATTCTCAAAGCATATTCATAACACGTGATGAACTTTATCGCATGTTTATCTATATGATAGAAAAAAAAAATAGTCCAAACATGATTTATTTTATATCCATTTCTGCCATAAAATTATATAAATAAATAAAAATAATTTTGGTATAAATTTATACCAAGATGAATAAATATTTATTTCATAAATGCATGATTTTTTTTAAATTCCGTTTTGTAGTTTTAATTTTAAAATTGGCATTTTATTAGTTGACAACAACTGAAAAAAAAAATATTAACCGCTTTGAAGATTCATAATTGAATGGTTTTTAAATAAATATCAAACAAATATTTGATTTTGATGAAACCATTTTGCTTCCTAAAATTATACGAGCGATTAACGAGAGAACGTGTTGGCAAACATTTCCGACAGGGCTAGTCGTGTTGGCCCTGATTGAACCAGATTCATTTTAATATACGATAGCCCCTAATGATTTGCAATCACGATACGAACGCCTCGTATAAAGTATTCATATTTTTTAATCCAAATAAAAACACATTTTAAAATAAATATTCCATTAAAACTCACGCCATTTTAATTTAATTTAATATGTGCAAATATGATCTTGTTTTTTTCTTTTTAATTTCTATTTAAGGTCCCGACAAAATTATCGAATCCTAAAATTTGTTACATCAGACAACTTTATATTCATCGTAATCGAACCCAAGATGTAACAAATAAAAACTTTAACGTCTAGTCTACATGGCATTCTCAAGTACAAACGAGATTAGAGACATCAATCCGCTATTTATTGATATGGTTTCCCAAAGGCTCTTACCAAACATAATACTAATTAATGGATAACATCGTTCTTATCATTATTAATACTAAGTCGTTGTATTATATATGTCGTATTAATTGTAATTAAACTTTTAGAATACTTCATTAAAGGACATGCAAATCAACTTCGGTGTTTCCTTTATCCAGAGGTTTATTAAGACAGGAAAGTTCTGTTAGAATATTCAGGTGTCGACGAAATAGCGACGCTTTATACAAACCTTTATTTGTATGCCAACAAGATAATTAGCAAGCAAATGTTTAGTTCGTTGATAAACAAATATATATTTATTTATGCTCATGTTCCTTGTAGTCTGTTATTTATAATTGCATTAACATTGTTTGTTCCTAAATTATTACGTTATGAATTTGTTAACACTTTTATTATAATGTGTTTAAAATTAAGTATTTATCTTCATTACTCAAAATATATCGAGTGCTGAATTGGATAACAATCGCTTTGTTAAAATTTTATATCTTACTTCTTACTAATATTAAAAATGCGAATGTTTGGATGAATGGATGGATGGATGTTTGTTTGAAGGTATCTCCAGAACGCCTGCATGGATCGTGCTGAAATTTGGTATAGATGTAGAACATAGTCTGGAAGGACACACACAATTTTTTATAAATTTCTCGCGGACGGAGTCGCGGGTGACAGCTAGTTTTTAAATAAAATAGTATTCATGTCTAGGACACATTACATTTAATTACGACAGTCCTAATTTAACACACAATATTGACTTAGTCTATGTTATTGTTAAAGCGTGTTTCCATTCCGAAAACATAACAATATGTCACCTCTGATTGTCTGAAATGAGTAGTTAATTATGTTTTACGTGAATGTTTCTGGAATCGAAACACGTGGATAATGTTTAAATATATTCTAAAAGCTGTGAAATTATTTAAATCTGTAAAAAAATGCTTTGGCACTTGTTTTAATTGTACAATCACAATCATCATTTTCATTACGATGTTTCTCTCTTTTTGCATCAATAAAGAAAAAATCAAATGTACCACGCGGTGTCTACAGTCATGGCAATGAGGTAACACAACCCCGTAGGTTTATCGCCTTGTTTCAATAATTTTGTATACGTATTATTTAAACTCCAGCTCGTCTCATCACTAGTAGATCCTAAATTATTTTAATAAAATAATAAATTAGTAAATAGCTTTTTTATTTTGTATTCAAGCACTTTTTAAGTTATATCGAGCTAGATTTAGTTGGTATATTAGTTTTATTTAGCAATATAAGTAGCTGGATAGTTTGCAGCTATGCAATTACCAATGTCGGGGTCATTTCTACTGGTGCCAGGCATCGGTGAACGCCGTTCACCTTACACCGTACTCTTGACCTTGTGACGTCATCGATCAATATTTGTGACGTATGAATATTAGTATTTAAACATTATTGTGACTGTGGAAAATACCAACTTGATAAATTACCAATATACTAACAATACTGAGACTTAACTGCTTGCATTCCCGTGTAAACACACTTGATTGTAATTGTTGGTCGTCACTGTTGTAACTCCAGTAGAAAAACATATTGCTGTCTCAAATTTATCAAAGGGAAGGAAAAGGAAAACAATATACTTTTCTATACGTGTCTCGACAGTGAACATCCACGGTACAAAAGTTTGTTTTAACCTCTGAAAGTATAATAGATTAAAAGGCAATTTATCAAGTTACCAATCATCGCATAATCTAACTTAACTATTGTGTACAAATCAATTAAGAAATGTTATAAATATTGATGGAGTTTTACAATTTTAGGAGGAATGGAGCTGCTCGTGACGCGATGCGTTCCGGTGCCGACTCAGAAGCACACAACTTCCAAGAGTATACATACAAGAAGATCACACCATGCGACGTTTGCTCACAAGTCTTACGAGGTAGGTTATCGATGTTTATTTTATAAAAAACAAGGTGGCAAACTATATGATCTACGCCGTCTACAGTCATCCGCAACGCAAGGGAAGTATCCAAGACGTTGTCATACTTTGAGATAGAGATAAGTATGGTTTTTAAAGGACCCTGAAGATAGTTATGTTTTGGTGTTGTTGTTTAAAGGGAATTGAATAGTTTTTAGTGTAATATAAATCATTGTTACTGACCTTTATCATTTCAACGCATATACGACGTTAGAAACGATTGACGCTTTTAGATGGACTATATTAAAGGATTGGTTTTTCTTTACAACACGGCCACTGTAGAGTCGTTAAATGGTCACCATAGGACACATTTAGGTTAGATTTAAAATGGAATCTATAATAAGGGATCGCTTAAGTATCCGTAAGACTCTGAATGTAGTAAACGTATGTTTGAAATACGTTATAGTTAGTTTTGCGTGGGTTGGTATTATCGTCTGATTGCCGATGGTATTAACACTCGTCAAAGGGCAAGAATAAAGATTAGGTGATTGTACGTTCTCCACGCTTTGGCTTAAGCTTTCTCTAAGCTTATTTGATAGGATTTATTAGCAGAATAAGCAAATAAAAATATATATTATGTTATTAAATATTACATTCCTATTCACTTGAATAGATAACTTTCAGAATTAACCGTTGGTTTCTGAGACCCAAAATGCCTGTATAAAACATATCGTCATCCCTGTCATTATCATTGACAAAACAGAGATAACAATATGTTTTAAACAAGGATTTCGGTCTCAGAAACCCACGGTAAATTAAGTACCGTAGCGCGTAGCATATGACTAATGACGCGTAGATATTTTAAAAATCCGCGTTTTTGTTTCAAATAAAGCTTAAAATTCCAATTACGCTACATTTGTATCATTTAAAAAAAAGAAATAAATATCTTAATTTTCTGAATTAATAAGTAATACTTAATTACGTGACATGTGTTTAAATATACATTAATTGCTCTTTAATGACCAACGAAATCATTAACGTTAATTGAAACAAAAAGAACATCGTAATTTGTTGTTCCAAATACAAATTCTATGTCGTATTCAGGGTCATTAGACTCGTTATTGAATCACTTTTTTAACTCGTAGAAGTAAATATATTTACTGTAATAAAAGATAATAAGGAAGCCGTAATCGCTGGCTGGCACGATTTTGTTAAAACCCAACCTTTAAACCAGCGAAAATTCTGTTAGTGTCTTGACTAAAACTTTCAAAATCGATGTGATTCGTCAGAACTTTTGTTAACAACGCCTCAATTTGCAAAGAGCGAAAGTTTTCGAATTCAAAAATTTCAACCTAAATTATAACTACGAATTAAAAACTTTATAAAGTCCTTTGTTAATTGTATTTTACCGTTTTGTATAATTACTATCTATAAAAGATCACGGTTTTTTAAAGAATTGTTTTTAATTTACTAAACTTTTTTAAATGTTCAAAACCATAATGATCTTAGTTCAAAGTTTATGATAGTATTATATGATAGATAGTAATATAATAAGAGATGTGACTAATCTAATATAATCTAATCTAATTCATATAAAATTTGGCGTAAATATTAAACCTTTCAACCATAAAATGTCTTATTCGTAATAACTTTTTAGTGAAATCTTTTTTTTCAGATTTCATTGTAAAAAGAAGAATTACAAAAATATTTTACAGCTAATAGATGTATGAATATATTAATTTAAAAAAATACTTAAAGTTCCACGGTACTATTAATATATAGTTGGCAAGATTTGAATTTCTCTATGATTTAAAAATAATTTTGTATCATCATCAGCTCACTATACGTCCCCACCGAGGGGCTCGGAGCCTACCCTAAGTTAAGGGTGATTAGGCCATAGTCAACCACGCTGGCCAAGTGCGGGTTGGTTGACTTCATATCATCATGGTTGAATTCTGTATATGGAAAGAAAATTACTGAACATGAAATGCTATTTCACAGTATCTCTGTTATAAGAAACCTTAAGTAATTACTCGTCTATCTCAAATAAAATTTTATTAGAATTAAGAACAACAAAAGAACGTTGAAATATTACATTGAAGGGTTTAAAATAATTCATTTGTTAAAATGTAATTTTCATCAGCGGGCTAACTTTCCGAACACTCGGGTCACTGACAATGTAGGTCGACCAGTGGAAACTTTGCTAACGATTTTGTAGCACGTCGCTTAGAAAAAGTGGAGGGCATCGATCACAATCTTGACTAATTGCCAATGTGGCACACATAATCCTGTAATGTTCTCGGAATTTTCATAAATATAAAATATACAATTAATTAACTTTCGTTATCAATATTAAATATCAGTCAGAGATAACGTAAAAGACTTGGTAATTTAGAGAAAATTTAACGTACAACTTTATGTAAATCCGTTTTTGTGACCTTTTAAAATTAACGTTGAAGTTGTCGAATTAAAAACCAATTTGAATGATTTGTTAAAAATAAATTAAAAACAAAATCGTAACAACAAAAACAGAGTTTATTAAAACCGTAATAAATATTTTTAATTTAAACATATAGTCTTAAAATATACTTTAACTATTTTTTTTTTATATTATAAGGTGGCAAACGAGCGAGCGGCCACCTGAATCTGAAATAGCGAAGTGACCGTTGCCCATAGACATACGCAATTGCATATGCGTTCCTATATATATATACCTTTAATCGACGGAGGAGAGGATGCACAGAAAGAAAATATTTTCCCTTTCCATGCATCCCCTCATCCGGAAAGTCCACTTCCACTTCCCATACTTTCCTTACTAACTAATCGCAAACATAGACAATTTTAATTTATAAAAATTTTGTAGCAAACACAAAGCTAGTTATGTTACGAAAGCGTTAGGGCGTTATCATTGTATCTCACATATGATATTGTAATGAAATATGCATCAAAAATATAAAATGAATTTTAATATAAGAGCTCTTCTTCAGACTAATAACAAATTTTCTGTAAAAGGTATTTCCACTTAAAGAATTGATACATGCTACAAAGTTAAGACGTAGACTCATTAAATTTTAAGCCTGTTGACTTTTAGTTGCGAGATTTTGCTTCTAAAAATTTCTATGAGTTTCAATCTTACTAATATTATAAATGCAAATGTTTAGATGAATGGATGGATGGATGGATGGATGTTTATTTGAAGGTAAATCCGAATGGCTGAAGGTATCTAGATAAAATTTGGCAAAGATGTAAAGCATAGTCTGGAATACATAACCTACTAATAAATGCGCATGTTTAGATGGATGAACGAATGGATGGATAGATGTTTGTTTGAAGGTATCTCCAGAACGGCTGAACGGAACTCGACGAAATTCTGCATAGATGTAGAGCATAGCCTGGAACACATAGGCTACTAATTCTGTTTTTTTATTCTGTACGGACGGAGTTGTGGGCTACGGCTAGTATTTTGCATACTACAGTTCATCATCGTAAGGTTAAATTTATGAAATGAAAATTTAACAAAACGGAATAAAATTCAAAGTAAGAGAAAAAGTACGGGTAATTAGATCTCGCCCTCGAGGCTCCGTCGTAAATTAACTTTAGTCTATTTTGTTTTCAATTCCAATCCAAGTAAACAAGATTGACTTTATATTATTTTTCTATTTTCTATAAATCCGAGTTCGAAGAATATTCAAGTTAAACTAGGACTGAAGAAAAATACAAGAACAAAATGTAGATAACTTGATCAAACAAAAAATAAGTGAATTTGTGTTTTTTCTATACAGATTTTTACTATCAATTAGCTATCACCCGTGACTCCGTCCGCGCGGAATTAAAATAAACATAATAAGTAGCTTATGTGTTCTTCCAGACTATGTTCTACATGTGTGCCAAATTTCATTAAAATCCGTTCGTCCATTCCGGAGATACCTTCAAACAAACAAGATTAGCATGATTCCAAGTAAAAAATACATTTCTAATAGTTTGTGGACAACGGCTAAAGTCAGTTTGTGTTCATTTTGCATTTTTTTTTTATTTGCTATGTTTAAATATGTCTTAATTATTAGATTTTCGATTTACGTAAGTTAATGCAATTTGTTTGTTGTATTTTGCGCATTAAACTTACACTGCGGCTAAAAATTAACTGCAGTACGAGTAGACAAAAGCGACACGCCTTTATAAAATGCTATGCGTGCTTAGCGTCGTCGGATGAAATTTAATATAGTACATTATTGATAAAAATGTTGTCTAAGTTTTTAGATGTTGTAATTTTCTAGGATAAATATAATATCTATTTACTTTTAATTTATATAGTTTGTATTTTAAGATTAAACATATCCTAATGTTTTTACCTTTCAAGATTTTGGAAGATCCGAATAGTTATAAAATGATTGGACCATAAATTACAATGTGAAAAAGATAATGAATAAAAAGAGAACAAAGATTGGTATTAAAGTTGCTAAACAAGGGAGCCACTAAAACATTAAATAGCGAATCGCTGCTCATAGACGTCTGAAGTTGAACTTCGTTAGCGTACATTGATCTTAAAACGTTTATTGTTGTTCCAGGTCATACTCGTCAAGGTCTTCGTTGCCGCATATGCAAGATGAACGTGCACACTGACTGCATGCCGCAGGTCGGCAAATGCCAGACCAAGTCCAGGCTCCTGCGTAGACAGAAGAGCACCTCAGAGATAGAGTCGCACAGAGTACAAGACACAGTATACGATGAAGAAAGTAAGTGTCCATATATATGAGATCTACATTTGTACTCGTGTTACACTTTCAATATTTATACCATGTATTTTAATTAATTCGAATAATATTTTGAAATCTACAGTATGTAACTTATTTTTAAAAACTAGTAGCCGTATATTAGATCAAGAACGTTAAGGTAACATATCGTAATTTAAACTTTGATATAAATGTATGTAATAGGGATGTGTATAATAATTCTTCTAAAATTTCAGAATGTACACTACATTGATAAATGATATGACCCTTTTAAATAATCCACAAAACACTTTCATTGTTGTCTCAATGTGTAGTGCGGTTCAAGAATAACATAACATGATTTTAATTTACACGTAAAATATACATTCAATATTCTGATAATAAATGTATTCCATGATCATCATCATTTGTATCTTACATAAGAGAACATTCTGAACGACTACACACTGCTTAGTGCTACAGCTCTCACCACTCGAAGTACGAAACATGAACAAACATCGACACATACATTAAAATTACACGTCGGAAGTTATGTTGACGTTATTCAGGGGCGGAGGACGGCCGGCTGCCCGGACACAGACTAACCAAGATTTGTTTCAAGGGATCGGTCGAGTTCGATGACGATTTCGATAGCTACTACGACGAGGGTACAGTATCAGTCTGTGAGGCGTGATACCCTGCACATTAGTCCAGCATCCGTGGAACTAACATTAGAATTCGCATCCGGCGAACAGTTACCCCACCCACTAATATACACGTTCGCCCACCCGTCGCGACTCGACTAACATTTCGCTCGATGCTCAGAGGAGGAAGTGGATCAGACCTACCAAGTTCTGAAGCGCGCCAACGAAATAGCGAAGCCGGGCGGGGCGGCTGGGGCGGTGGGTTCTGGCGGCCCGGTCGTGCGCGTGTCTGCGCCTGCGGAGCCGGGCGGAGCGCGCTCGCCGGCGCGGCCCGCTACCGGCCTGGCCGTGGCACCACAGCCCGCCACCTCCACCTCAGGTGCGGCGCGGGCTCGCTGCGACCCGCGCGGCCGGCAGCTTCTCACCTCACGAGTTTCCAGTAGTGTCGAGTTTTGCACGCACTTGAGACGGGGTCGCGGGCGCGGGGCGAGCGGGGCGGGGCGCGCGGGGCGGTACTGAGCGGTGCTTGTCGTAGGGGCGTCGGCGCCGCGGCCCGACGGCGGCGTGCGGCGGCGGCTCTTCGCCGGCGTCAAGAGTTTGTCCATGTGGGGCTCGAGGTCGCGTCGCGGCTCGCCGCAGCACCGATCCGTTTCTCTGCCGGAAAGTACGCGCCCACGACTGTAGCGCATCGCTCTCTGTCTCACAACTGCCAACTCAGCTTTGTTTGTCCCTGTCTTGATGGCTCCAGTGATACTTTTTCGTTGTGTGTTCAGTTTGGTTTAATTTTATTTCTTTCTCTGTACGCGATAGACATGTTAGTTTATAGGAGCGAACATAGATATAGCTCGACATTTAGGTAACCGCACTATAGTTGCTTGACCCTGTCCTGCCTCTGGGCTTTCATGATCAGTCGCGGCGAGACATTGTGCATTGTCGATCCCTCTCCACTACTTTTCGTTATTTTATTTATGTGTTTGTTTTATTTATTTTTTTATTTTGGTGTAATTATTTTTTATTTATTTATTTCTTTTCTTGGGGGCTATCTTTGCAGAATCGGAGGAGACAACTACGCGACCTTTCGGGCAGCCCCTTTGTTTCGTTAAAGAGAACGGCGATCCGCCGCCCTCGATTCTCAAGCCGACGGCCAGCGTTCGCAAGAAAAAATGATTTTAGTAGCTACCCCAGAAAAGCGAGAGCATTAACATAGTCCGGTCAACGTGACAGAGCACTGACTCAGAGGCAACTGCCGCTTCTTAGTTATTTCAATGATAAATACCCCGAAACGCCCCGCGTTCTGTGATATGTAAATTGTTACTGTTACAATAAAAATCAGAACAAAATAGATTTTTTCTCAATCCCCCGCCGTATGCACAATGCATTATAATTTTATGCGCCTGTTTCCTTTGGGCGTTTGGTAAGTGGTTGCATGGCTTGGTGAGGCGTGCTGTGGATCGCATGCGTTTGTCTTTGGCGATTACTTATTTGCAATGTACATCTCTTGCATTTATTAACTCCTGGTACTAACAGCGCGTCTTTCTTTTCTGATCCCAGTAACAGAATAACTCAAAACATTCATAATGCCCTCAGTTAACGAAGGAACTAATGATTCACTGAGCAACAAATATGTTTTACTTAATTTTTACCATAAATCATATAAGATAAATAGGTTTTGAACATAAATGTACAATTAAAGTTAAAAGTATTGAAATACTGATCGATCCGTGCCCGTTTACTTTGTCCACACAGGTTCAATGAGGAATTCGAAGAGTGCCCAAATGTTGAGGCAGACGGACCGCACCAGTCCCTTACCCGGTACACAAAAGATATCGGCAAATTTATCGATTTCCCCGTAGACTGTTTTACCTAATTTGATCGTAATAATCGTTGCATAAGCGAGATCATTTTGTACAAATACATCATTCACAGTCACATTCCGCCACAACCCTGCCCGATCACGTACCAGCGTGACTCAATACTCAGTAGTAACAGTTTCATTGTTGAATCTTGTAGAATATTTGCGTAGTTTGTTTTGATTGAAACCTGTTTCTGATATGCGGAATATGCAATTCTTTTTTTAACTCATTATTGTGATTTATATACAGCATTTTGGTTTGCAAAGCTTATGCACACTTTTTGATGTTCATTATTTTATTCATATTAAATTGAATTGATGATACGAATACGTTTTGTCCCAAATTGTTTATTGTGTTTTGACTATACTGTACCTCAGGTTCTTAACATTACCAATTAAATATTCGTGACATCATTTTATATTATTTTACATACAATATTATATATTTTAGACACTCGTCACTTTATTTTAAAGATAAATTTAATTAATAAACATTACACTTTCAAGTCATGTAAGAATAAATTAATTTAAATTTCATAGTGTCATATTATAAATTATATAACATGTATTAAAATCATAAATATTATCACCGCAGATATCATTTTCATTACACTCTTGGAAATTGAGTGTCGAATAGTTTGAAGTTTGGTAAGTTTCGTAATGCATCGTGAATGTTGTAGCTCCTCATTCGCCGAGACGTCAAAAGTTGAACCTTAGGATGAAGAGTCTGTCACTGGATTCACCAGAATGCGGCGAGCTCAGGCGGCGGCCGGCGCGAGACCAGCCCGCGCAGGGCAGCCGAGTGCTCTGTACGATCAGTAACATTTCATCAAAGAGTTCACACGACCTTAAACATAACATGACGCTAATGTCGCGCAAAATGGCGCACATTATACAAAATGGCGGCAAATTAAGATACTAAAAATTAACTGATTTTATTAATCCGCGATTAATTTACTTAACATTAACTACTGTTGCTTTTATTTTGAAAGACGTTTGCCTTTTGATTTAATTTTTAAAGGTCGTTTGAATTCGTTAATAGATTGTTGTCAACAATGCGATGTTGTGACCACGTGTTCCTCTCACCTCTACTACCTAAAGCTTAGCTTCTCTGTGTATAGCTATTGTGTTCAATCAAGTGGTGCTTATTTCGTCTTCTAAATGTGATAAAACTTAATGTTTCACAATCTCCTCGTCTTCAGTATGTATCCTTGGCGCACCTAAACCTATTGTTGTTGGTGTTCCTATGTTCGTAATCACATTTTTTTTAATAATTTATTATGATTTTTGCATGTTATTTTCTTAATTTTATTATTTTCTAGGTAACGGAAGAGCGAATCTTAACAGATACGGTTCAAATAGAATAAATTATCGCACCATATATAACTATTCGCAATCATGTACGTTTTTCTTTTTTTTTCTTTTTTATGTGTCATAATGTAAAAGGTGCCTTTCAAGAGATTCCAATATAACATAAATTTAAACAAGAAACAACATTAAATTGTTGTAAAGATAATGTTAGTCTAACCACGTCTGTTACGGTGTAAAATTTTAAGATATGCAGAGATTTATTCTAAAGAAATCTCATTTTTCATAGTTTTTTTTTTGCTCTATGCACCTTTTATATTATTACAGGTAAGACTAAACAATGTTTGTAACAGTTTTCAAACTAATTTACGATGGACGCTATCAAACTTTAGTTAAACCAACCGCTATAGTTATTGGGCAGTAACTAGATTAAACACACGATATGCGAAGGCTGCTCCATTTGCTGCTTTATCGCTATATTAATATACATTGTTTGGTCGCCGTTATTATTAAGAGATAAGTCGTAATCTGGTTAAGTTATGGGCATGTTGCATGTGTTCTATTAAGCGTAACTTGTAAACAGGTTACCAAATATGCTATGTCAGATATTCTTTGCTATAATTTGTAACTATAAACATGCGCAGTATGTACAAAGATAAAATTTCTTAAATGGAATAACAAAACGACACAAGTAATAAAAAACTTTCAAAATTATTTGATGCTATACTTGGTGAGTAATCTCCGTATTTTGCTACTGCGGAAAAATCGTCATAGACTGGATAAAAAGGTATACTATCGTAAAAGACCACAATTATTAATTCTACGTATCCCTCTAAAACAATATTTAATATGCAGTGTTTGAAAACGATGCCACAGAGACAAAATTAAATAACTACTAAAATAGATGTATCTTAAAAACAGTCTATGAAAACTTGACCACGCTGTTCTTGCAAATAAACTCTTGCCGTACGAAATACGTAAAAAATATATATATAAAACTACATGGAAAACAACCTCAGTTTAAACTGCTTCTATTTATTAGTTAACATTCTAAATAGCATTTAACTTATTTTTCGAGCCATGAAGCAGCTCGTGACTAAATACTTAAGTATTCAGAAACAATAGGTATTGTATGCACACATCAAGCAGTTGACTTCTAAAAAAAAATAAAAAAGTGTAATTCTTTCAAGACAAATAGCACACATTAAATACGTCAATGACGTATTAAAAGGTAAGTTCATGAAACCACTTGAAAATAAAGTATATGTAGGAGAGTTGTTGAATGCCCACAGCACCGTCATCCCCGGTGCATAGCCGGCGGCTGCTGAGCGCACGCGGTGGTCGCATGAGCAGTGTTGAGTTGCCCGACGAGCCCGACAAGAGCCTCTCTTCGAACAGCGCCAGTCCCTGCCCCTCGCCAGTCAAGCAACCTAGTGTAAATACTTTAAAATTTAAGCATTCCATTAATGAGTTTCGTCGTACTAGATCTTTAGCAACGCTTAGCGACCATCGAACGATTCTGATAATGGGTTTTAGACATTTAAACTTTTTCAATAATAATGATTTGATGATGACTTAATGATTTTTCAACAATTGATTACTAAACTACTAAATAAGAATCGTATAGGTAAAACATGTTGCGGTCTTGTCATGAAAATATAAATCTGAACAAAATACTTTCACGTAGTTGTCCATCCGACAATAATATATGCTATGATTTGATAATTGTTACAGAAGAGCACTTCTAATTGGTATTGGGTGAGCTATGCATAATATAAATTGAACCACAGCTTGAAACCCCTAGATAATTTTAGAGATTTTATAACCTAAAATTTCACGTAATCTATAGATTTAAAGTTAGCTGTAAAATTGATTGTTGATATAACAATTTTGTAATTACAGAAGCATCAGCGGCTCTTACCAACGAATTTGTACGTGATACTCTATAACTTCAAGTCGCGACACGCCGACGAACTAGACCTAAAAGCAGGCTACAAAGTGACGGTTATCGATACATCAGACCCTGACTGGTGGAAGGGCAAGTGCTTGGGAAAGATCGGATACTTCCCATCTAAATACTGCACTAAGCTTCAAGCTGGAGAGAGACCCTTGCAAGTTACTCATAATCTTCAAGTAAGTATGATAAGAGTTTAGACGCTGTTATCAATATATTATAAACATATTAATTTAACAGGAATATTTTTAATTTCAGGTATCCGATGGTGACAATGGATTGATGTTGTTGCGCGATCAGATCGTAATCCAAGTGGGAGATGAAGTGGACGGCATGGTCATGATCAGATCCGGTGACAACCGCCAGGGCGTGTGTCCCATCAAGTTCCTACAGGAAGTGTGACGCTTTAAGTTGCCTCATTTTAACTTCACCAAAGTAAGTAATAAAACAGTAAACACAGAAGAAAGTTATATAATTGTTCGTAGATATTAATAAGGCTGTAATGTAATGTAACATAATATGTTAATTAAAATCTACTTTTCAATTTCAGCGACGCGGATCATTCACAGAACAAATTAACTCCAATTACGAACCGAAGCCAACCCGTAGCGCACCAGTAACTCCTTGTGACAGCGAATCATCGTTCTGGTCGAGGGACACCTACGATAGTTGCAGATCTAATAAGGTATACGACGAAATGGAAGGCGTGTGGTGGTGGCAAAGACCATTAGACGTCAGACGAAGTCAATGCCGCAGATGCGGTGCATCGTCTTCTACAAGGCCTTTGAGAATGTTGCCCTGCGCCGGAGTCGCTCCAGAAGACTACGACTACAATGACCGCCGTCCGCTCATGTCACGTGATCGACCATTGCTTTTCGTAAAACAACTCTTTCTTTAGAAAATGCTTCACAATTACCAATAATAAGTTACATGCGGTGTTCCCCAAGGAACTAAATTTGGACCCACCCAAAAGTACTTTTCAATTTACTTCCTTTTTTAAACTTTATGATATGTGTATCATACTTAAATTCAAAAACTTATTTAGAAATGTAGCAGTTTGAGATGGATTTTTTTTGACTTTAGAGATTTTTTCTCTTCATACAATTTTATGCATTGCATTAATATGAGGAAATTATATTGTGACATATCATTTTAAATATAATAATTTCATGGAGCACACGAGTAATATAAAAAATATTGCAGTTAACCAAACTATTTGCACACACAGGATGTTTCCTAAAGTCACTATCTAAAAAATCATAGGCCTATCATTTACATTTCAAAACCTTGCAAAGATAACCAAAATTATTTTTACTAAACACAAAGCTATAAACACGTAATAAGTAGAACACATATGTTTTGTTCCCTTTTTAACTTCACACGTCATCCAAAACACATTTTGTTAAAAATATATATTTGTTAAGTTTTAATATTACAAAAAATAATATAACGTCCACACTTCTTTATGTTTTAAGAATATTTCCTAGATCTTTGAAAGGACTTATATGATATCAAATGACTAAACTAAATAATATTATAATAATAATAGTTATAAAAAAAATCATAAATGTATAGAGCACTATATTGTAGGTTACTTATACATTCCAATTAATTAATTTGCTAACGTAATTTAATTGTATACGTTCCTATAAGTTAAAATTTAATTTAATTAATTAGTTCGATTTTAATTAATTTGTTTATTTGCAATTATTGTTGTTTATAATAGTGAAGTAACTAATTTAATCCATCCAATTGAAACATTTTATTTAAATTTAAATATTAGGCTTCTTAATATTACAATTAGCCTAATAAAACTAAAAATATAATAATAGATTTTTTATTTTCCTTATTTACTAATATGTAATATTTTATATCCCAAATAAGTATGTATTCATAACCTTTATATCATTTTTTATTTTTTTACCTTTAATTTGACAAGCTTAAACCGTCCCCTTGAAGTTTTAAAGTTATATAACATATGTATTATTATGAAATCAGTATATACATAGACGAAAATATAAGTCACATTGCTTGTAAGTAACAAAAATGATTACATGTTTAACGTGAATTTTCACTGCTGAAACACTCGAACCAAAAACAAATATCATTCCTCTTGTCAAGACATGTTTTTGCTGGTGTTTCAACAATGTAAACCTACGGTTAGAAATTAACAACTGTTTAGAATATATAGAATAGAAAGTAAAAATCACTCTGCGTCTAATAATGCTTTTATATGAAATGTATATTTTTATTTATTTTCGAATTTTGAATTTTGATTTTCGAAAGAGCACAAGATAATTATGATACAATGGAAATTGTTTCATTTTTATTTTATAGCATTGAAAGTTTTGTAAATTCTTTTTTTAAAAATTGTTTTGTTTTTAAAAGTAAAATATAGTTAGGAACGTAATTAAATAAAATATTTGACGAAGGATAGTAGGATGGTGCCATACAGTAAAAGAGGCACTGCTTATGTATGTTCTAGTGTCTAGATCTAGGACCTAGACTTAATTTAGACTACGCACTAACATTCGATGTGGTTATTATTATTGTGAAATGTAATATAATATGATTAGAAAGGTGAAGTAACCTCATATGTTTATGTAAGGCGGTCCAATAATTATTCAAATCCACTTTACATGTTTCTACTGTGGGTTCCCACTGCTAAAATACAGACATAAAAACATGTCATATATTTTATCTTTGAAAATTATGGATAACATTTTTGTACAAAAATCGGCAGTATTAATTCTGGGATGTAAAAAAATTTTTTTTGTTCACATGTTGGCATTTTTCGGAGTAATTAATTTACTTTTTACGGTTATATTTTTTTTAAAAATTAAGTAAATCGGTTTTTATTTATTATGTTGGTATCTGTTTGTTGAAAAATGTTGCCGCCTTACATAATAAATTTTTGAAATTAAAATATTGAATATTTGATAGTGTAACTTACGAAATGTGGAACCAAAAATATTATGATATTTTAGTAAGTCCTAGGGTGAAAGTCCCAGTTAATTCCCAAGTGAGATGTTTTGAATATTTATACCAAAATTGTTACTATATTTAAAATGTATCGATTAAATATTACTAATAATATTTATGACGAAGAGTTTAACAATTTAATTTAATTTTAATTATAAATGTAGTTTAAAAACGTCTATAAACAAATAGTTGTCAATAGTGTGGCAAATGTTGCCATCATGCTGAAATACGTTATTGCTTTTAATGTATCCGAACAAAAGGCAAAAAATTGTTTCATTTACCATTTTAAAAATAATTTGTTATAAATCTAATTTATAATTAAATGTAAATTGGAATTAAATATTTTTATTTACGGGTTTTACTTTTAAATAAGATTTAATGGATAAATTGTATTATTTTATTACATTTGTTAATATACAGTAATGCTTTTTTAAGTTAAACATGCTAGTAGTTTCTAATGTTTATAAAGAACGATGTGTTAGATTAAATAAAAACTGTGTCATGTAATTCCTTTTGATTTACCTTTTGTCTTTCAGTCTCTATAACCTAAAAGTGCTAAGTCTTATAAGAGACAATGAATTGATTCTACTAAAGCAAAAACTACAATATTAAAAATAACTGCATTCATGAAGAAAAAAGTAACTAATGTAAGTTTGTAATGACGGTTAAAAATTATAGTTTTTAATTGTCAAAAACATTTTGCTATTAAATTTAAAAAAATCATCAAAGTTTACGCGATGACTCATTTAATGTAATTTATTTTAAAAAACAAAATTTTATGTCGACTTGATCTTGAATCGAACCTACAACTGGCATTGAAACAGCAAAAGTCTTTACGCCTAATAATTCAAAAGATAGCGTCACAACAACATTTTTTTTAAATATTCCAGTGTAATGAAACAAATATTTATTTATTGTAATTAGGAAAATCAATAATTTCAAAATAAACCAAAAAAATTAGCGGCATCTAGCTTTGGAATTAGATGATTTTAACAAATAGCATTCGTCGACGCCAGCAGATGGCGTTCATAGCCGTTATAAGCCTCAAATACCTTGAAGACATCACAAATGTGTATAAAATATATGTAGGTATTCTCGCTACATATTAAAGTTAAAATAACCGCGCTCACTTTTAAGTAGAGTAACGAACCGAAACATTTAAGTATTACGTTACGGTACGTGAACAGATACTAGGTAGACTCGTGTAAAGAGCTAAAGTGCCGACCCTACTTTTCGCGTCGACGTGTGTCGATAACCCTGCGGTAGAGGCGGCGCGGCCTACCAGCACGCTTGCGCCTCACTCGCATCGTTCGCATCGGTAGTCTTATAGACGCGGACTTAGCCTGGCCGCATTCCGATGCCTTGAATACATCGACACTTTCATATTTTTACATTCGATCATACTTATTTAAAAACTAAATAAATGACATATCAATTTTTTATTAATGTTTGAGTTCATGATAATAACATTTTGATGGTAATATAGATAAGTAAAATGTTAATTGTAAATATCAGCAGTGGTCGCCTTTGTAGTGCACATTCCGTTACATAGATGGCAGCTCTGAAAATATTTGACATTCCTCGCATTCCGATCGTAGTGGGCTCGGCTCAAATGTCAAACGCGACTATTTCGTCAACAGAGTCGTGGCGCGATAGTTGGATTTTATAAAATAATAACAAATACTAAAACAGTGTACTTGTCAAACAATGGATTCTAGACGGTAGGAGTCAGTATATTATTTTGCGTCGGACGTTTTATTAGCCAGTGGTTGGAACACAACGACTGATTATATACATACCGCGATACGTTTCTTATTGATTTTCGTGTTCTTCGCCGGTTTTTGTAACTTTATGAAGTTTTTGTACTACGTTTAAGGTCTGAAGGAAATAGTTTTTACGTAAATAAGTTTTAATTGTGTTGTATGTTGTCACTCCACGGTGAAACATAAGGACATCGACTGTTTATTGTGATACGCCGTGAGAATCAAGCTTGGTGAGTACTTATCAACATTATACCTACTTGTTTTTATATTTTAAAATTCTCGTAACATTTTTTGAAATAGTAATTAAGTTAAATGCGCGTAACTACTATATTTTTAGTCTTAATGTTTACATTTCCTACGATTTTTATTATTTGTTTGGACCAAACAGAATATTTACAATGTCGAAAAAATATACCCGTCAGGATTTGCCGTCGCCTCTAATCTATTATAATAAATATCACCAACAAGTACGTTACTATAGCGTAACGTAAGTTCAAGTACCTACCGGTTCGATTTGCGAACGGAACGCGCAAAAAATTTGGCCGGTCGTGAAGCGAGGCATTCGGCGAGGCAGGGCGAGGAATCTCGCGAACATAATAGTGTGGAATGCAGCCGATACGCGGCCGCTCGGAGCGCACACACGCGCATCTGGCCTGGCCCCGGCCTCACTACACTGCGGTGATAACACGATAGCACTACGCCGCACGATTAGCCAATGTCACCGGGCACAATATCTCTCCACATTGATTGATTTTGTTCAAACTTTACTCCTAAAATATAACTTGACCACAGTAGCCTAAACACTAATGTAACGCAGGTAATTTGCTTAAGAATACCCTACCCTACTCGATAACCAAAACTGATTTCGCAATATGATCATTAAGCCATGAGTTTATTTAATACAAAATTTATTAAATTTACAAATTCAACTACCAACAATATATGACGTTCAGATCAATGATTAAATTGACATTTTTTATTTGTTTGGTAAATTAATTTAGCACGTGTTCGCATATACAGATAAACAAACAAAAATACCACAGATCTTGCTCACCTTATGATAATAATAATATTTCAAAAGGACACTTAGTACCAAGCACGTGGTAATTTAGCATTTAAAAATATTTAATTTGCGTTTAATTTCACATTTAGACTGTGTTTAACTATGTAATAGTGTTGTTACCCTTACCGTGGGTTTTTGACTACAAAATCTCCGTTTAAAACATTATCTCTGTCTTGTCAAAGATATTGACATGGATCACGATATGTTTTATACAGAGATATTAGTTATAAAAAACCACGTTTAATATTTATTTGTTTGTTAGGCACTAACAAAGAGAACCTTCAATATATGTGTTAAACGCAAGTTGAGACGACGTTATACGCGCTACGTATGGCCATCGGTATTGCAACTATTTCCTCTACATTTTTGTCCTCAATTCAAACAAGAAATATTATAATATCGTTGTACAGAGAAATAATTTCGCATATTACCTCTAATACCTTTAAATACGTCTTCTTGATACTTGTATCTTTCACACAGATCACGTGGGTTTGGTTTAATGATGAGTTTACGCTAGAATTATGAAAAACAATTACACGCAATCTAATTGGTCAAAGATATTTAAACAAAATTAATCAACATTCAGTTGTTTTGTTTTCAAAAAAAAATGTTTACCAAAACATTAATAGTAAATTGCCAATTACAAATTTGTACATACACAGTTATTTAACTAATAAGACGAAAATAATTAGGCAGTTTTAGAATTGTAACAAACAAAGGAATATTTCTCCTTTTACATTATTAGTAGAAATTACTAAAATAACTCTTAACACATTGAATTTGTATAAAATATTTTTTCAATACCGTTATCGTATTTTCAAAGTGCTGCGCTTATTTATAAAGATGTTTGTCGGTATTCGGGCGACCCTACAAAAGGAACATCTGCTTCGGTTTTTTCCGACCCCTCTAGCCACGTGCGCTAACGCAACGCAGGGGCGGCTAGCGTAACCCCAATGAGGGTCTTCTAACTATTACACTACAATCATTCAAATGTAAACCTTATTGTTAAACTACGAAGGCTTACTTTTAAATGTATAGTCGTTTAACCAAAATAGAATATTATTTTTAAAAGGAATGTCAAGGTTTCAGTAACACGTGATGCCGCATACGGGTTGGGAATTTTTCAGGTGAAAGAAATGATTATTTACCTTAAAACCATATAATCGGAGCGCTTATAGGGTTAGCCTTCTAGAATAAGTACTAAATCGTGTTAACATTTTGAATATAACATTTGAGTTACTTCGCTCCGCACTACAATGATCGGTTTACTGATACTATGTGTATAATATATATATATATGTGTATAATATTTTAATATTGCTAAAAATTTATAATTTTTACACATAACTTGTTATTCTTTTTGCTGAATTATATGTAAGTATAATAATATTGCGGTGGTAACAAAATATCAAAAGATAAGCCTGCACAAGTATCATCATCAGAATACGTCCACACTGAGCGGCCAGGAGCCTTCTCTAAGGTGACTATGCTATGGTCAACTCTGCGTGGATGGAAATTGAGAAAAATAATTGACTTAAATTAATCTAGACAAAGATATATCAATTATTTTGCAATATTACATTATAAATTGCATTGCAATTGCAAGTAATTATATGTTAACAGCAGTCTTTGATTTGAACGCGTGCCTAATTAATATGCCACATTCCACGCGCTTTCTAACGCAACTGACGTAATGTTTTCATACATCGATATGAAATATTATGTCATAGGTTATGACATGACTCTTATGACCTAAAGTCATATTAAAACAAGATATTTATGTTAAAAAAGTATATTTTTGTACTAAATATGTAGTTTACGATACATACAAACCCCAATATAAGTAATAGTGTGATAAGTAAATCGCAAGTTATTTTCAATATTTTCCAAAGCAAACGCAATCTTATTGAGTGTGATAAAGAAATTTAAAAATGATTGCACCATAAATATAAAATTTTCTTGTGACCATTAAAAAGAAATATATAATAATTTTATACGAAACAATATAAACTACGTAACACACCCGTCAAATAATAAAGTCGGGCGTAGGTATCAGCAAAGCCGGAATGATTCGTCGACCTCCGTTCCACAGACATACCGTACGGCTAGAGCGAGAAAAATTCTATTGTGGTTAATGTACCGAATTCCACGTTATTTAACATTGTAGTCATCCTATCGCTCATTCGTTTGTCTCGACCCTTTATAACTTCGCATTACATCTTTGTAACACTCGAGAAGGTTACTTATAGGTTCCGATACAGCTAAATTTTTTGAATATTTTTAGGCAATTTTTAACTAATTAATTTATAGAGACCAGAAGTTTTTTTGGTATCCTATCGATTTGTACAGAAGAGTACAGTCTATTTTATTAAAAACTAGCTGTCGCCTGCGACTTTGTACCCGCTTAAGAAAAAAAATAACTGAATTAGTTGCCTATGTGTTCCACCAGGCTATGTTCTACATCTATGCCAAATTTCAGCAAGATCCGTGCACCCTTTCTGGAGATACCTTCAAACAAACATCCATCCATCCATTCGCATTTAAAATTTTAGTAAGATTAATTGTTACACGTGCCAAGCCAGGTCAGGTCGCTAGTGTAATGTAGAAGCGTCATACAGCTTTGCATTCCTGGAATTGCCCGGCGATTACTCTACGAGTTTAGATTCATCGCCGAGATTTATATGTATTGAATTATGTCAATCACTCGAGGAATGTGCTTAATCGTGGCTTATTTAGATGTCATTTGTTAATCATATTATTGTCGAGCTTCGGTTATGTTGAAACAACGATTATTCCGTTCGCATTGAGTAGAAAATGCGATACGCCCTTGTTAATTACGACTTAATGTGTTTGTCTCCACATAACTCAGTGGATTATACAAATTTTATTATGATCATATTAAGTGTGCATACTTTCGTGATGTTGATGTTAACATTTTTTTTTAATTTGAAACTTTGTTATTGTTATTTTAAAACTAATTTCTTTTTTATTTTAATAGCTGTCCCTCGCTACACCGTTTAATTAAAAAAATTAGTAGCCTTAAGTGTTCTTCCAGACTATGTTTTATAATTCAAATTTAATCGTGATCCGTTCAGTCGATCTGGAGATACCTTTAAACAAACATTCATTCAAACATTGCCATTTATAGTAAGATATTGTCTACACTTTGATTAATACTACAGTTTTAACGCCGATTTTATATCTTACAAGTATGTACAGTAGAAACTAAAAGCCTAAATAACGTGGACAAAATTAAGAGTCCCAATCGAGAATGTAAAGTTTCAGATGATGATTCTAGCGAGTTACAGCGTATGATATGATAGGCGTAATATACTAATATATTGTATACTGTATTTCCATTTGTATATATTGGCCTCAATATCAGCCACAAATATACCTTAATAACATATACTTGGCGATATTTATTTTTAGTTATAATTCATAGCAATGGATTTATTTGACAAGTTTTTAGCGTTAGTGTCTTGTCAAAAATACATTTATGAGCAAAGATTATCGTCATTATACAAATTTTGGCAACAAACTTTAGCTCTGCTTAATTAAAATCGTATCGTTATTTTGATTACATTGGCTTATTTACTATAAGTTTTGCACTGCATTTATTGTAAGGGAACGTATCCATACTACGTGACCCGTTTAACGGGGGGGGGTCTCTAAAATACTACGGTCAGTCACAGGAGCGGGGGGGGCTCGAGTTTGTGTCACGTAGCCATTAGTTGTTCTTTTTCTTAGTACATAAATCACTAGTAATTTAAGTTTGCATGCAGTCTTAAAATATAGGTCAAGTAGTATGGGTATGTTCCCTAAGTTAAATGACAGTTGTCAAAATTTGCTTATTTTTTTGTAACAATGGGTTTCTGAGACCAAAATCGCCGTTAAAACATGATAAAGATAATGACATCGACGATGATATGTTTTATAGATATATTTTGGTATCTGAAAGCAACGGTCAATCCCGATTATGTTATCAACTTTAACCAATACAGCTTAGGACATTTTACATAGTTTTAGGATAAATTGAAACATTACTGCTATGTATTCATATTCAAATGTGTAGGGTAGTTTGACACCAGTTGCCTTGACACAATTCCGTTAATAAGAAATGTGCCAATTCGTAGTGTTAAATATATTTAGATCTGGAATAATAAAATCAAAACTGTCGTAACGCAGACCTGGTATTTAATTTGTGATATAATGTGCTGACTACGTAATATATTTGTAATTATTATAAGTTCTCATTACCACTGGTGGAGTAGACACAGATGAATTGGATATCTATAGAGTCAACATTCTGTTAGAACGGGCCGCGTACATTTTACAAAACTGACATTGTAATGTTTTTGACGTTATTAGAATGTAATATTATGATCGTTCTATGTTCACATAGGCTACAATATGTTGTGCTTTTTTTTCACGGGTCATCTGAATAGGTGTGATTTTGATATGTTAATATTTAAAAATCTTACTAATATTATAAATGCGAATATTTAGATGAATGTTTGTGAAAAGGTATCTCCGTTACTGCCTTAAGGATCTTGATGAAATTTGACACAAATGTAGAGCGTAGTCTGGAAGATCACATAGGCTTTTAAAGTTTGTTTCAAATTCCTTGCGGAGTCACGGGCGACAGCTAGTATTTGCATATTATTAACAAATTATGAAAACACAGTACATGTAATAGGGTTCGTAATTAGTAAAGAATATAAGATGTGTGTTTATTTACTGCTCGTGTTTGAAATTAAAATATTACAAGAGTGTAGGAGTGGATTAGAGCGAGCAGAGCTAAATAATTCAAGAAGTTATTTCTCGTCACACATTCTTTGAATTGTACATTTATTTTGTTTACATTTGAATGATATTACATAAAGTTTAATACATTTAATGACTTTCTTTCTTTGAATCGTGAAGTTTAAATGGCTCTTTTGTTTGAAGGTTTTATTGTAGTTAAATAAGAAAGTTTTATAACACATAAACATCCCGAGTTTGAAGGTCAATGCTTGCGTTAAAGAAATATTCAGAACGATTCTATGTTCTTTAAATCGTAGCTTGAACTTTATTTTTCGTTTTTTTTTAATATATTCAGTTTAAAATAAACCGATTTACAGATGGCAGCAGATTAACCATAGATTATCATGAGGGTAATTGAATAATTTTTGTGCTCCATTTCAAAGTAATTAAATTAATTTATGAATCTCACTGATTATTCCTTTCGGCATGTCTGTGTCGTGTCTAGTCGTTTATTATACATATGATTTCCGTGAGTGTGGCATTCGAGGCGTACGATCGCGCCAACGCAACGGCGACATTAAATACACGCGCCAAATATTTTTATGCGACCAGACATGGATTCCTTAGCCGAATTACACGTAAACAGAACTATACTTAGACCCAGTCTTATAGCAGACGTGATTTCATTGTTTTATTCTTAAAGAGTAACTGAGTTTGCATTGCTAAAATACTTGTATAGAAACATATTATAAAGAAATAAAGAACAGAAACAACAATATGACAAAACTCAAAGAGAAAACTTACGTTCGGATGAAAGTATGTCAAATGTGGATGAAGGAATTACAAAAGCGGTCCAATTAACGATGTTTTACGTAGGATTCTGATTCTAAATTCCATTGTCTATTACAGGGTTACCATGGAGAAGATAGAATCCGCGCTGGACGTGCTGTCGCGCGCAGCCACGATGGTGCAGCCTTGCCCTGCCTACCCCGCCAGTGATTCCGACAGCTTTGGTATGTAATGTACTATTAAAAACTGAGAATCCAAATCTCATCTAGATCCAATCCGTCAATATAGACTTAGTGGTAACATCCATCCAAACTTGCTCACTTTAACCTTAATGTTATCCGATATGAAGAGGCCTTGGAATTGTATTATCATATTCTCTTCATAATAAAGAAGCTTATAATTCGCTCTAATTCTTTGCCGTCAGCACAGCATATAGGTAACTAATATATAAGACGTGTTTCTATAATTGAATAATGAAAACTACCCTTGCCAATATCTGGCGCAATTTCATAAGTCGAATGAAAAACGGTCGATGCAAAGAAAGCGTCTTGCGGGGAATCAGTTTACGAGTATAATGCACAGGAAAGAATTCACATTATATAATGTAAATATAATTAGAAGATAGGGGCCCTAATGAATAATGAAAAGGTCTCGCGTGCGGATCCTACGGCATGCGTGAACTAAAATTTCTCGCGCCCCGCATGTAGTGATAACGAATTATAAATTTGCTTCATTTAACATCCCATATTAAAATCGATATGGCAATAAAATTGTAAAGACATACTTTGACTATATTATCGCTGAATACTAATAGTAGGCAATATAAGACACAAAAAATGTGACAAACTAAGCCAATGATATTGTCAAAAGAACTATAAGGTATGTAGTTAATTATACCATATATCATGATGTTTGAGAATTACAGACAGTTGGGAACGATAAAAAAGAACGCGGAATGTGCTACCACGTAACCCAATAAGATTAATAGCGGTCTTAACGCCTACCTACCAAGCTTTGTTGTTTTTTATATGTACGAGATATGATACAAGTTTGTCTCTACAATAATGTTTATTTATGAAGAGCTTTATTGTCTTATCGGTTTATTTGATTACTAGCTGTCGCCCGCGACTCTGTCTGCGGGGAATTAAAAAATGAGTAGCCTGTGTGTTGTTCCAGACTATGTTAAATATCTAAGCCAAATTTCAGCGAGATCCGTTCAGCTGAACATTCGCATTTATAATATTAATAAGATTATACGTAAAATAAAGGTGAAGTATAGTAGGTATAAGAAGTTTGGAAAATTTTAATGATAGTTAACACCTGCAGTATTGACTAAAAAGTTGCAGGTGCGTTCCAGAGAAGGGCATATAAAAATTTAACAAATAAAACACTTATCAGTTCTTTGAACTCGTATTTCGTTTGAGTAGACAGTGACAATGATTTATCTGTATTTACCTATTTATGATATGTTTTTAAGTCTGATTTCTTTACATATTTAACATATTATATCTTAACTTAATTTGGCCCAGATTTGTCTTGTTTTTGATAAGTTTATACATAAATAAATAACTTCAAAATTTAGAAAAACTAAACTAAGTTGTCTCACGATAATGCAAATCATGTCTTATTCGTCCCATTTTCCTATAATAGACCATTATTCTTCTGTTTACTTCTGTCCCATTAAGGTGAAATAAACCATCTTACGCATTGCATTTTCAAAAGCCAAGATTCATGTCAATAGGTATTGTTATGATTACGTCATAGTGCAAAAAGAATACGAGCATAGACGGTATTGATAATGGTAACGAATCGTCTAGGAATCCAGTTGTATAGGGAACACGGCTAATAGCGGGATGACGGCCTTGTGCGCCACGCCGTCGCGCATTCCACACCACAGCTGACATTGTTTAATGACCATCCGCATTTATACGAAACTAGGCCTATATCATTATATGTTTTATACCGTATACGTCGTAGATATGTTGCCGATTATGATCTAAATATGATTGTATAGATTTTTCATAAATGAAACAAAGGAGTGATATTCTTAATCTAAAATGTAGATGTTGTTTGGTATCTTGTATGTTGGACATCTCTGAATTTCTCCCTAACTACGTATTGCAGAACTAAGATGAAGTTAGGGGAGAGATTATTAGTACTTCGCTAGTGTTATCGATCTATTCATGCTGCAGCAGCTGTTCCGTGTTCCACTGGTAGTTCCTTTTGTTCAAACACCGCTAACAATAGTACTTGCATAATGAACTTAGGGTCCGTAACGTACAAAATTCGTGGTCAGTAAATTTTCAACAATGCGAAACAAATACAAGTCGCAGCGGCTTTAGCGGAGCGGTCGCAAGCTTCTGCCGAGTTAAATAACAATGGATGCCATTGTTGAATCGGACTGGTTTCGCGATAAGGCTTGACGATTGCAGCGCCCCCCCTCGCCCGCACCGGCCAACTCCTCGCTGGCGTTCGGTCATCGCGACGATTGTTATACACTTCGGTGTCTTTTTTCTGTCGTTTCAACTAACCAGTTTCGATAAATCGCGTTCTGGTCCCGGCCCACGTTAGGGTTTCGGATCGCATCGCAACGATCACATTAATAAGGCCGTTTCCCTTCTGCCGACTGACAATGGAGTTAAATCTCGTCGAGAAAGCAGAGCTTTCCGACAGCAGAAACGAAAGCATAGACGAGAAACGCGTCCCGCTCGCATTTCGCCGACCCACTATCTGTTATCCGGCCGCTTCATATACTTTGCGATTTTCCAACACTACGTTCGATAATTGAACTTAAACTTCCGCATACCATTACAATGATGCGATGAGGTACATACAAAAATACACAAAGTGTGTAAGGAAAAAATAATTTACAAGCGACGATACTTCGCTGGTGCATGACGATCGAAATCAAATCTAAACATAATTAAATGTATCGATTTGTATAATTATAGAAAGGCATGCATACATTATGGACATAATCAAAATACGATCACGCGACGTTTGTTGGTGATGTAGTCTTGCCGATTGGTTGTTTACAAACAATGGTCCGATCGCAAATAATTATGCAACACGATGACAAAACGCGCGCCGCATCGCAACTTACTTTCGATGGTCGGCGTGCGTGCACGTGCGCGTGCCCGAGCAACGCCTGCTGTCAAACGCCGAGCAGAGAAAGCGCTCAGGAATTTGGCCCGCCCGGCCCTGGCGCTGCAAACGTTACCGATGAGTACTGCGGCAAACGCCCGCGCATTACTCAATGGAAGCGTGCAATTTTCACTCTGTCATTAGTCAAAAGTTTTATTTTTAATAACTTCCTTAACAAATATTTCACCAGTCAGTTACATTTTTCCTGACTGTTACAGAAAAAAAAATTGAAACAATTTATTACTACTCAATAAACATCAATCCTCGCATGCTCAGTACATAGCTTTGTATAAATGTAACGCCTTAACGTAGCGTCGGATGTTGCGCCTCGAAATGGAATTTTATTGTGAATTGTGCACGGATGAAATTGGCGTGCGAGTCTATATCCGGAACGCTGAGGCGGCGTGTTACGGTTTCGAAAAGAATGCCGAATGTAGGTTGTGCTGCCGACTACAGTTACGAACGCTCCGAGGAATGCAATCATCGATCGCTATTGTTGTCAAAACATTGTTTTAACTACACCAATTCTATATTAAACTAGCTGTCTCACGCGACTCCGTCCGTGCGGGACTAGAAAATACATAGCCAATTCTCAGACCTACTGAATATGCATATAAAATCTCATAAAAATCAAGCCGTTTCGGAGGAGTATGGAAACTAACATTGTGACACGAATATAACATATTCAAACTGCCACAATCCGACCCCTACACTATAATTTTTAATTTTGGCTGTTTTAATCATCACGTAAAATGTTGTAAAGTTTTCTTTTAGTATTTTTAATATAAATGAGATTTATCAACGTTTACATATTTGTGTTGCGAATTATGACATGTAACCGTTGCATTGCAAAAGAAACCCCCGCGTCAATTTAGTCATTGAGAGCAGAATTTCTAATGGCAATGAATTCCATTTGGTTGGCACTAAAGCGAGTGTGCAAGTATTCGAGGTATTCGGGCCGTCTCAATCATGACTAGCGATCGTTTAATGTTTAAATGTATATGAAATCAGAATGTCGATATGTAGATAAAGAATTCTTCGCAATTACTCACTACACTTTAGTAGAATTGCATCAGTACTTATCGTTCTGGGAACATAAATACACCTACTATATTCTTATTATTTCTCCATCCTTTAGAATTTAATATGACAGATAATAATACTTAGTTTTTAAACGTATAAATGTCCGTTTGTTTACTTAAAGATGGCCTAACAAGATTATCTACAACGATGTTACCAAGCCTACTATACAAATGTGTAAGAGCCCGCACACTAGACTTTTAGTCGCCCCATAGTTAGATCTTGCGCTTAATCAGTATCGGTGTAATGTGGGGCGTTACATTATGATACCGATTAACCGCACGATCAAACTATCGGGCGAATAAAATTCTCTAGTGTGTGGGGAACTCTTATTTTAATCTGTTTGAAATATATTCAATATGTAAAAAGGGTCTGATGTTACTTTGTACACTTTCATTGTAACGCCACTTAACCAGTATCCTAAACTTTAATTGAGTCAGATAATATAGCCCATTATTTAACCAAGGTGTAGTAAAAATCTGAAGTTAGCTGACAAGAATAAACATCCTGTAAATTATTTAGTAATTTGATAATATTATTTTATTAGTGTATCTTTTTGTTTTCAAGGAATAAAGGTTCCTTAACAGTATTGCCTAAAACAAATGATTTCTTGCGAACAAAAAACTTGAGAGAAGGGATCACAAGTAAGCGACCTTCATGGTATAGCCTCACCAATTTATCTGTCCTTTAAATCTAACGGTCATAGCAACTGACGCCTCTCTCACGCCACTCCACGCCACGCCATTTGGGTTATTATGTAAATATTGTAATTTTAGCTACTGTATGCGCTTGCAACGAAAATTGTGATCATTTGAATGCAACTTTACATTTTTAAAAACTTGACGAAATGGCATTTTAGAAAATAATTACAAATTAGTTGCTACAATTTTGACAGATGCTTTAGTATTAATAATCCTGATGTACCTCCATCAACTAATTAATAGAATAGAAATAACGATAAAATTAAAAATATAAATTTATTTACGCTTAGCTTGTTTGC